TAAAATGAGTTCTATGCAATTAAATGAGAGTTCTATAGTTGACTGTCTTTACGAAGATTTACCATCAGACGATCAAAGTTGTACGACCGTAGATGATACAGATGATGACCAGGACTACTTACCTCCACAAAAGGCCATAATGGTAGTAGAAGAAGATAACGAAGCTAGTGATGATACAGGTAATGCAGATGAAGATTTAGTAGACATACTAAATTTGAATGACAATGAAATTTTAAAATTACCTAGTCCATATAAAATTTGTAAAAATTTAAGAAGTTTTAATAAAAATGTTTCTCGTTCATTATTTTCTTCCGGCCCCACGCCCAGTTCAACAATTACTTCGGGTACACCAGAGGTAYTTATACCGAATATTTCAAATAAAGATAATTTTTCACAAATCGAAGTGCCTATTAATCATACCCAAAATGCTATCGAATTCAATTTCATACCACCGACATGGTCAAAAAACGAAAAATTTTCAATTGACCCATTATCCGATTTTATTGGAACAACAGGCCCTAGTGATTTAATCGACAAAGAACAAGATCATACACCATTTTCAGTTTTCAAACTCTTATTTTCCGATGAAGTCATAAATTTAATAGTAGAACAAACTAATTTATATGCCCAGCAAAGATATATGAAGACAGGAAAATTGTATATGAAAACTACCAATCAAGAAATTATGACATTTCTAGGTATAAATATATTGATGGGTATAAAAAGATTACCTAGCTATAGAGATTATTGGTCATCAGCACCAGACCTTCACGACAGTTATATAAGTCAATTAATGACGGTTAATCGTTTTGGTTGGTTGCTGTCTACTATGCACCTAAATGATAACAACATGATGCCTAAAAAAGGTGAAATAGGTTATGATAAACTTTATAAAGTTAGGCCATATTTAACAAWTTTGAAATATAATTTTCAAAAGTATTATAATCCTGACAAAATTATTGCGGTCGACGAATCCATGATCAAATTTAAAGGACGATCAACTTTGAAACAATATATGCCGAAAAAGCCTWTTAAAAGGGGATACAAGGTTTGGTCACTTGCAGATAAAAAAGGGTACTTATGGAATTTCGAAATATATTCAGGTAAAGTTGGTGAMAATGTGGRAAAAAATTTAGGCGGTCGTGTTGTAAAAGATTTATCGTTTCCATTACAGAACAAAAACCATCATCTTTATATTGATAATTTTTTTACGAGTTTGCCCCTCCTTTCATATTTGAAAATGAAAGGAATAAATGCTTGTGGAACAATAAATTTAACGAGAAAATATTTACCAAAATTATGTCCAGATAAAAATATGAAACTGGGAGATTATGACTGGCAAATAACTGATCAAGATAATATATCTATAGTAAAATGGAAGGATAAACGAATCGTTAGTTTATTATCTAATTTTCACGATCCACAAAATGTAACCCAGGTGCAAAGGAAGTCCAAAGATGGTTCTGCAATTATAGTTAATTGCCCTAAAGTTCTACAAGACTATAATAATAATATGAATTGCGTCGACAAGTTTGATCAGAATAAAAAATCTTACCAAATGGACAGAAAAAGTCACAAGTGGTGGCATCGAATTTTTTTTTATTTTATTGATGCTTCAATAGTTAATGCCCGTGTTATTTWTAAAGAACTGTGTCCAGAAAAAACAACATTAAAACAGTTTAAACGTGATATTTCAAGAGAATTTGTATCGAAAACGTCAGTGCAAAAACGACGTATGACTGTAGAGCCGTCATCGCCATCGCCAGTTAGTATAAAAAAAGGAAAACCAACAGTTTCCCCATCAATAAGAATGGAACAATCCGCACATCAACCTACAAGATCGACAAGAAGAAGATGYACATTATGCAGCACAAAAGATAACGAAACTCGAACAAATTGGAAATGTTCAATTTGTGATGTTCCGTTATGCTTGGGAAAAAACAAGACTTGCTTTGTACAATACCACAGTAGTTGAAGGTAAATCATAATATTATTTAAATTATTTAAATACTTACATATCACTGATAATATTGTTTTATGTTTCAGAAATTATTATTCATAATCATCCTTGTATAAAATATATTGACCAGTGACAGATGCGACTATCGATAGTGCACTACGGGACATATTTTAACCCACCACTTATACTTAAGTACAAAATGTATTTATTTATTTTTTTCATATTAATTCTRTATTAGATTATTAATAAAAAGTCATCATTAGCAAAACCAATTGTATATACCTAAAATATCTTTTTCTGTGCAGTATGGGTTTTTTTTTTGTCATTTATGTTGTGCTCCAAAGAGTTAAAACCTGTTGCTCCCGCACTACCCTCTCTTCCAGTGCTTTCCCGATACTGAYCGGTGCTGAACTTGACAGCGCCCAATCTCCGGGTCTCTTGCATTCCCTGCCGAGAACGAGGACCGCAGGTGGGTAGCATGTCTGTTCGTTACACCTGTTCCATATCGAAAATAGAATTGCGGGTAATTTTGTGTCCCAAGATTTGTGGTTGCCGTCTACGAGTTGTGCGCGCAAACCTTTTTTCAAATCTTGATTTCGACGTTCGACTGGGTTGGCCCTCGGATGGTAAATTGGAGTTGTCCAACCCTGTGTTCCCCAACGTTCTAACGCGTTTAACATTTCGTTCGACACAAATTGGGGGCTGTTATCACTGAGACACACGCGCGGGTAACCGAAACGTGAGAAGAACTCGCGTTCAAACGTTTCGATTATTGTTTTAGAGATTGCTGTGCCTAGGGGGTAAGCCTCGGTCCACCTACTAAAACAGTCAGTTGCTACTAGTATATACGATTTTCCCTTACCGGAACGTGAGTATGGGCCCATTAAATCGATACTAATAACTTCCCATGGTTTTCGGGGGGTTGTTTTGCCGTATTTACGGGCTATTATCGGGTTTACGTAAGACTTTTGCGCCTGCGAATCTAATAGGGCTGTTACGAAGCCTGACGGAAATTCGAGTTCAACCGCGGGGGTCGGAATTTTGTCCGGGCATGTTCGTGTACCGTTATTAGTCGTATTGTAATCGGTAGTGCGGGACAACTGGTTCTGAACCGCGACAGAGACTGTTAACCGCCATTACCACACTGTCCCTATCGGTTGCCACTGTGCCTATCCGATGCTCTACGCGCGCAGACTGGCCTAATGCGGGGGTATGCGTGGTGTGTGTGTTCGCGTCCCCGTCACCTGTGTAGGTGAACACCCGTGTCTCTGTTGCCTTTGTCCCTACACCTGCGGCTGCCCCATGTGCCGGTTGTTGCGGAACACACGTGTCACCGGTGAGGTGAGTGTGTTCGGTGGTGGGGTGGTGTAGGTTGGGGGTCTATGAACGGATGTCGATAGGCGTTGGAATGGAAAAAATGTTCGTTG